TTTCTGTCCTTGACACACATGCACAGTAGTGGTAACTGGGGTAGGCCGTGGACGTCACAAGACATTATACTCTTTATTAGGCTCTGGTATCATGGCAACTCGGCAACAGAGCTCAAAGTGTGGGATCATTTTAAGAAAATGAAAGAGAAACCTGTGCAATATCTGCAGAGCAGAACTTGCCTTCCACAGCAATTATTTTTAGTTAGCACATAGCTAAAATCTAATGATGGTTATATAATAGCAGCTGCATTCTGGCGTGATAAGCTCTACGTTTTATAGTCAATTAACGTATGATCCGATTAGTCGACTAATCGAAAAAAAAATCGATGATTAATCGATTATAAAAATAATCGTTTGTGGCAGCTCTGATGGTGGAGCGGTCCAGCAAGCTAYCGCTCTATCACCTGAATGTGCCGAAGAGAGGGAGAAAAAAACTCCGGTTTACACATTTCAAAATGAAGCGCAAGTGTTGTTGTTTTTTTTTTTTATGTACGCATTTGTCGTCTATTAAAGCTTGAAGATTTTATTTTGAAGGTCAATTTTAGCTTTCTCTATGTTGTTTAGCTGAAGGATCTTAGCTTATTTTATCAGAAAGTTATCAACTGTTAGCAGTAAATAAACAGTGAAATTAGTAGTATTGGATTGGGCGTGTTTTCTACTGATATGTCGCAATATATATCATTATTGAATTATCAAGTCTGCACTGTTAGCAAAATATTTTTGAACCATGGGAAATGCTTCAGTGAAACTTTCAGAAACAACTGATATGAACTGATTAACCACTGGAATGATTATTTAATTTCCCTTTGGGATCAATAAAGTATTTCTGAATTGAAATGAACCTGGTTAAAACATGGTCTCCACGGCAAATCAGTATTAGCAAACAAATGTGAGTCGTCACATCAAAGCCAGAATACTGCCACAATGTGATCTGTGGAGAAATATGCAGCTATATTAACATTTGCAACAATTGCATTTTGTCAAACTACTGAATAAATATCTTATCTAGAGTTTGTTTAAATTAAATATAATATTAAAAATAAATTGAAGCACTTTTTTGAACCGTAGCTACAGAAAACATGATTTTGAGCAAAAAAATGTAAAGGCACAGTGTGTAGGATTTTGTCAATTCTTTTAGCTGAAATTGAGATAATGACTAATGACAATAATAAAAAACATGTCTATTCATTGCAGACAAAGACCTTGATTTATTATTTTTACCTTATAAAAAGCTGTTTATATCTCCATGGTCGTGGGTCGCCACTACAGGCAGCCGCCATCTTGCACTGCCATCTTGTCTACG